TTAGAGAAATATAAACTAGGTATGACACGACACCTTTTTTCTTACCCACAATCTTTGCCTATGCTAACTCTCACTTTGGTTGATTTGAATAGAATGTTTCAAAATCAAACATCAAATACATATGATGAACAAATCTAACGACCTTATGTACAACATGAGAACTATAGTTAATAAAACAGTACTATAATTGGGATTCCTGTTAAATGAATAGGTGCTCTTGCCACAAAAACAAGCAAACAAACAAATAAATAAAAAATTGGTAACTATGTTGAAATAATGGATATACTATGTTGCTTCACTCCAGGAACCATTTTATTATACTTATGTACCCTCCAAACATAGTGCTGTTTACCTTAAAAATATACACATAAAATTTATTTCAAAAAATAAGTGACATAAAAGAAAATATCATAGAATTTAACAACTGAAAGGAAAGCTGAATCTGTTTGATCTATCTTAAGTCATTTTCTTACTTATACTCTAACAAATAATCAAACATGTTATGTCACATCCCACAGTGTCTTTGTACTACAACTAGGATAGAACATAGGCCTCCAAGACAACTAGCACCAATTTTTTATTAGTTTTACATGTACTCTGCATGCATACATACACCCACATACACAACCAATATACTAGGTAGGTTTTTAAGCTACTTTACCTGGGTTTAGGTCACTGCTCTGGCAAGTTATTCAACTATGCTTCTAGGCCTGACTTGATATGCAAGTATAATAATAGTTTCTATGTCTTGGGAATATTATACAGGTGAAGTGAGTAAGTAGGACAAATCCTGTCTCAGTAATATTAACTTTCTTTTTACTAGTTAACAGCAGACCCTTTAACTGAACCTGAATTCCCTAATCTAACAGTATTAGTTTCCTCTGGAACATTTGCTAATAGTCTTGTACATCTGCTATGGGGCTCACCTTTGTAGTAGAATATTCTACTGCTTATAAACTAGTAACACCAAAAGGTATTAAGTTGCCTAACTAGCACTTTCTAGTTCTCTTAGACACTAAAAATTACTGATAGATTTTCCTTTCCTAAGCAGAAAAAAAACCTGAAGTGAATCTGTGTACATCTACTAGTATGAAGCAATAAAGCTTTTTCTAACTAGTCAGGAGTAACTGTCTCTTCCCTTTATGATTAAGAATCATTGTGAATACTGAGTTTTATGTGAATAAATTTTCACTGTCTTGTTTCCATGGTAATAATCATGCAGAGAATGAAGTATCTTTGCTCTTTGATAAAGAACATTTTTGTTTTAAAGAAATCATATATTCCCTTTTCAACTAGAAACCCAAATGGAACCAAGTAACTTAAAAAAAAAAAAAAACCAGAATTAAAGCAAACTGCAGTAAGAATTTTCAACAACAAATGTTTGATGATTTCTCACTCCAAGAAAAACATCCTCCATTAATTGCTTTAATGTTTCAGTTAATTTAATTTTCCAGGTTATCTACTGTCAAGAGTCAAACTGCCTGGAATGGGAAAGCTGCTATGAAGAGAATATAGGGCTTTGGGTATTGATTTTTATAGAGGGCACAATTTTATACACATATCACTCGTCAACCAATAACAAATCTTCATTTTAGTATCTCTAGATAATTCGATTTAAAAATACAAATTTAGAAGTGCATTTAATAGCATAATAAACACAAAGGCACTGTTAGGAAAGCTATTTGTCCATCCTGCTACTGGCACAAAGTAACAGTATGGCCTAGACCAGATCATTTAAAAACTCTGTTTCAATTAGAATAAAATAAAACGATAGGGCCAGTCTTTTTGCCAAGTTTTGGCACTAAGAGTCTATACTTCTATGGGATGAAGTCTTAAAAAGGAAATTTTCATCTCATTATTTTCCTTTAAAAATCAGGTTAGAAAAACAGGGTCAACAAAACTTAAACTCTTGGAATGTGGAAATCTAACTGATGAGTAACAGTTGCAATAAAGAGAACTAACTGACTAGTCAAATTACACTACTTGACATATGAGTTTTTGATAAACAGTTTTCTGACCTAGTATCTGACAGAGAAAAACAAAAGACTAAAATTTTGCCACTTTTCCAAATTAACTTCTTTAAAATTCACAATTGCTTTTTGTAGTAATTCTTTCTGCTGGGAAAAGCATTTTCCTCCATCCTTCTTCCTTCATTCTTTCTCCAAATGTCCAAATCAACTATACCTCTCAGAAATCTACTGTATCCCCCATAAAACAGAAAGCTCCAATTAAATCTTCACAAACACTTCTAATTCCCCTAAGAATACTCTCTCTAGGACTTCAATAATAGTTCCTATCGGTTCATATATCCTTTACCTCTTTCTAAACTATATTATACTTACATCCAAGTAATATTTTCTACACTAGATGATAAGCCTCATCTAATTCAACTTTGGATCCCCTAAAAAATACAATATAGTGCCTAACACAAAAATAGATGTTTAATAACTAGTGGAAAAATAGCTATAAACTTCAACTCAAGAAGCGTTGAATTCTAAGTTCTTAAGAGTACAAAACATGTCCAGAGCTTCTATTAAATCTCTCTCACACAGACACACACACACAAATACACAGACTCTTTCTCAGTTCCTACAAGCAAAAGAGGTTCATGATTACCACTTTAGGGCTTCAGAAAATCATTTTGAGCTGTTAATTCCGTGTAAAATAAAATCAAAGGATAAAGTAACCATAATCATCTCTAGGAATATATTTTAATCAGATGAAATTGGTTGTCTAGAAAATCAATGGGCAGTCCTTTCCTGTTAGGTACTTTGAAAATCAGAGTTTGATTAAAACTTACCAATAGTTCCAATGGCTGTCTAGGTAAAATCATCTTTTATGAAAAGCACTATACAATGCTGGAGCAATGATAAGGTTTAGCATGTTAATAATATGATCAGAAAAGATGTTTCACTTAATCTTTCCTATACAGATTAATGACTGTGTTTCCATTTTCTAATCTATAAAATTAAGGCCACTGTATATATTGTCCATATTCACACAGGGGGTGTAAAATTTTTTAGATGGTGAACAATTTAAAACAAAGTTCCTTAGGCAATACTATCATGATTTAATTTCTAATAAAACATGATCTTAAAACAAAATTTTAAACTCCACTTACAAACTTGTGAATAAGCTGCATAAATGTTTATGCTATTTAGGAAAATCTTGTGTAGATGAACAACATCATGTATTGCTGAAATTGCATTTGTTATATATTTGCACACATAACATTATTTCTTTTAAAAACTCTAAAAGTTTCTCTGTTTAAGACACATCATTTAACAGATCAAAATTATCTACAAAGATATTAATGTATCCTAAATTGGTTAAGGAGAACAATTCCCAAAGGTATTACAATTATAATTTTTAAAATAATATCCCAGTAGATAGCAAGATCACTGAAATGGGGGGTGGGGGGTAGATAGGGAACTTACCTTATTTTCACTGCAGTTAGTGTCTCTAAATTTTCATTAAGTGGTACTTTTTAAAAAGTTTTACACTTTTATCTAGCAAGGGTAGTATAAAATTTCACAAAGGATAAACTTCTTAATTTGAGGACTCCCAAAAGACACTGTCAGTATAAAAGGTCTGAGTTGGTTTTCAAATAATAGGTGAAATCTGATCCCTCTTGTGACCAGTTCAAGTTAGTCTATGAGCCCACTTAAACTTATTTGTTGATACTGGATACTACTGGATTATACCAAATTAAAACAAGGATAATGTTTATAAGTTATACATTCAGCTGGGGTACAAAGGTGTTAAAGGTGATAAAAATTAAAAAAATTATAGATCTCAATTATATTTAAGCTGTCCCATGCAATTTGTTTGTTTGTTTTTTAAATAAAAAATATAGTATCACTCATAGGAATTAAAACAAAGTTCCTTAGGTGACACTTCCACTATTAAATTTCTGATCAAACTTGTGATTTAAAAATAAAAATGTAAACACCATTCAGAATATTAAAATATCAGTAAATGAAAAGTTAATATGTTTTCAACTATTAAAAATATTTCTTAACTAAGTTAACAGGTTCCTTTCTAAACAAAATAAAAACTAAAAAATATTCACATGAGCATTTGACTATTTAACAAATAAATGCTTATCTAAAATGGTTTTATTGGGCTGGGGATGTGGCTCAAGCGGTAGCGCGCTCGCCTGGCATGCGTGCGGCCAGGGTTCCATCCTCAGCACCACATACCAACAAAGATATTGTGTCCGCCGAGAACTAAAAAATAAATATTAAAAAATTCTCTCTCTCTCTCTCTCTCTCTCTCTCTCTCTTTAAAAAAAAATTAAAATTCTTTGAAAAAAAATGGTTTTATAAATTCTACATACAAAATAAGAATTTTAAAGAATATTTAAAATAAATGTATGTAACTGTAAAGTGTCCTATTTTCCACTCTTAGTTTAGTCAACTAGTATCAACATAGAACACTTAATTTTGTTCTATCAGGAATAAAATCATATTTTATTTTACAAAACAAAAGTAAAGTCAAATTTTTTTCTTGGTATTTTATACTTCTGGTAGGAAACAGAAGAGGAAAACAAATATGTTGCCAAATATTGTTATGAACTAAGACATTTACAAAATTATCCTCAAAACTACAGTTTTGCTTATTTTAAAATTCTTTCCTGGGTACCAAAAAAATCCAACTTTATTCCACCAGCGCCTTGATAATGAAAGTTAACATGCCTTAACTATCCTAAGAAAGATCAGTCTAGGGATTTACCCCAACAATGTAATAAACTAATATAATACTTCAGACTGAGACGCAAAGATGAACATAAGCTTGGAACATCAAACAACAATAGATGTGACACATATATGTTCTGTCAGAAGTAGTGAATTGCAGGGTTTAAATGTAAATTAATGTTGATTTTCTTCATTTCTAATAATTCACCTAAAGTCAAAGCTATAATCACAACACAATAAATCTTTAAAGAAACCATAACAGGAGCAAAAAAAGAACTAAGAAGGTCATTCACATATACTTACAGATCCTCGGAGAAATAAAATTGGAACCCCAATTCCAAACTTTTCCTCTAAGATGCCCACAGCAGATAACAACTGGAATGCTTGTGGACCAAAGTCCTGTGATGTATCATCTGAGTCATTATTAGAATCACAATGATTCAATCTGAATAAAAATATTAATTATTAAGACAGCATAAACAAAATACATACCTTAAGCAATAAAAAAAGATTTAATGTGCAAATTAGCCAAGTAAAAAATATCTCAAATGTGTCAACTGCTGTAGAAGATACAAAATTTATATAGCCAAGAGCATGTGAAGTATCTCAAACATGACAAATAAACTATAATACAGCATCCCAGAATGTTATGCTAATGGTTCCCCTCTAGTGTCCTAAGAAGCCAAGTTTCATGGCAAGTGGCCCAGACCTTAGATGGAAGAAGACTAAGAAGTTCAAGAAAGTACGACAGTTCCACTTGATGGATTATATATGAACATTGGACTTTTGTGTTAGGTTTTGTTGGAAAAAAAATGGGGTTATTACAAAAGAAAATTTTAACTTAAAAAGAAAATCTCCTATCCAATAAACTGTTAGTTTAAACTCTAACTTATAGTTTAAACTATAAATTATGACAGAAAGATATAAACTCTTCATTTAAGTGTACATAAGGTAAATTCATAAATCATTCTTCAACTTGATATGAAATTTTTATTAATATAAATTTGATTTTTTTTTTAGGTCAAGAACAGCAACAAAAAAATCCTTAGGGAAAAATCAACCACCTAATTCAACTGATAACTTTCATAGCAATAAGAATGCATTCAATATTCCAGATAAAATAATGTTTGGAGGGAAGGGGAAAAACTATGTTTAGGTTTATTCTTCTATTCTAACATCTTTAGTAGGATGATTACCTGGTTAATTTACTCTACTAATAAGAGTAACTAAAGCTATCAAATTCTCATAAAGAACTACCTGTATTGCATTTATTGGTTTTTAATATAATTATCACTAAATTCTAAAAATATTTTAATTTCCAGTTTGATTTTTCTTTAAGTTATTTAAAAGTATTATTTTAGATTTCCAGATGCATAAGAATTTTTTATTTATCTTTTAGTTTACTATCAGATTTTAATATATTATCAGAATATGTGGTGAATTAGATACCAATTCATTGAAAAATGCTGAGATAAACTATAATTTAGTAAAGGGGTCAGAAAACATTTTCCATAAAAGGCCAGATAACAAATACATCAGGCCTTGTAGACCACAATGGGTTTTGTAGATAACTACTTAACTCAAGCAGTCATCATAAACAGAAGGGCATGGCAAAGTTCCACCAAAATTTTATTTACAGAAAAACAGGCAGTAAGTGAAGTGGATATGGCCCAAATATCATATTGCCAACCCCTGCTCTTGTAGTCAATATTTATAAATACTCCATGTATACATGAGAAGTATAGACTCTCATTCAGTTTTTCCCAACTAATATGCTGCAAACAGATTCTAGGTGGGCTGAAAGGTTAATTATTTCAGTCCAAGTTACCTGTATTCTGACATTTGCCCAGTGTGGGATACAAATACTGATCATTTGTTAGGGGGATCATGAAGTAAATAAAGTAATTTACATCCACTTCTCTAGCTGCTTGATAAGTTTTCTATTACTAGGTGCCTAATAAATAAAATTTGTACTATAGTGACCAAATTTCCTATAACTTGCTAATTTTTTTTAATTATTTAACCTACCAATAACTAAAAAATTATATCAAACTTTTCCACTTTGAGGGCAGATTTGTTTATTTCTTTGAGTTCCCTCAATCTGTGCTTTATGGGAATGAGTTTTCTGTTTTGTTTTACCTTGTTTGTTTTTTGAGACAGAAAACAATGTTCTCTTGGTGAAGGAACTATTTATCATTATGCAGAGAACATCTCCAATCCTAATAGCATACCTTGTGTTTTATAATAATGTATCTACCACACAAAAGTATATGGCTAACTCAAGCAGGTGTATCATTTGTTTTAATTTTTCAATCAATAAAGAGTTACATTAGTCATATTTGTGTAAAGTTCTACAAATTTTAACACATCATAGATCCACATATATAGATTCACCTAATCCTCACCATACTCAGGACACAAAACAAATCTATCACTCAAAATACTCGTTTGTGCTACCGTTTTGTATACCTTCTCATTCTCACTAACCTCTGGCAACCGCTGATCTTCTCTTCATCCCTACAGTTTAAATACAAGTTTCAGAGAATATCATATAAATGGAACCATATTGTAGAACTGGTGTTATTTCTTCTTCAAATGTTGGCCAGATTTTGTCACTGAAGCCTTCAGGGCTAGAAATTTTATTTTCGGAGGCTGTTAATAAGGAATTCACTTCCTCTAATGCTTGGGGGACCATTCAAGTTCACCTATTTCATTGTGGCTGAGTATGGTTAGTTTGAGATTATTAAGTAATTAAATTAAGTAATTTCATCTACATTAGTGAATTTATATGTAAGTTGTTCATAGTGTTTTATTCTTATCCTTATTAATGTCTACTGGATTTGTAGCAAAATTCCCTCTCCCATGCCTGCTATTAATAAATCTATTTCTCTTTCTTCTGTCAGTCTTGCTAGAAGTTTTTATCAATTTTGTTGACCTTAACAAATAATGACCTTTTGCATTCACTGTTTTTTACTACTCTTTTTTCTGTTTTCTATTTCACTAATTTAGGCTCTTATCTATATTATTTCCTTCCTTCCACTTCCATTTGCTTTATTTTGCTTTGATTTGCTTGTTTCTTATGTTGGAAGCTTAACTGGTCTGAAACCTCTCTCCTTTTTTAATATTTAATGCTATAAATTTCCTTCCTAGCATAGCTGTATACTAAACATTTTTGTATTTTTATTCCATTCAGTTAAAAATATTTTCTTATTTCACTTGAGACTTTCTCTCTGATTAATAGTTTAGAAGTGTGCTATTTAATTTCCAAGGGTTTAGAGACTTTCCTCATATCATTCTGTTACAACTTTCTAGTTTAATTCCAGTATAGTCAAAACACATACTTTATCCAAATAGATTACTTCCAAATTTATTAAAATTTTGTTTTATGACCCAGAGTATGATTCATGTTTGTAACATTCCATCTTCCCTTAAAAAGAATGTGTACTCTGTTGCTGTTGGATGAAGTGTTCTTTTAAAAACTAATTATATCCAGGTTGTTGACAGTTCTGTTTATTCTTATCCCCTTAGTGATTTTTTTTGTTCTACTACTTCTATTGATTACTGAGAGAAGATGTTAAAGTCACCAACTATAATTGTGGATTCTCTATTCTCCTTTCAGGTCTTTTAGGTTCTTTCTTTGAGTATATAAACATTTAGGATGTCTTCTTGGTTGGGATAGTTGATTTTACGTGTAACTTGGCTAGTCTGAGGTACTCAGTTGTTTGGTCAGATACTAATCTAGAGGTTGCTGTGAAAATATTTTGTAGCTGTGATTAATATTCATAATCAGCTGGCTTTAATTAAAGGAAGTTACCATCAATAATGTGGGTAAGTCTCGTCCAATCAGTTGAAAATGTTAAGAGCAAAAAATGTAGCTGAAGAAAGAATTCCACTTCAAGACAGCAACATCAACTCTTGCCCATGTTTCCAGACTGCTTAACTTGCCAACCCCCACAACTGTGTAAGCCAATTCCTTATAACCAACTCCACATAATTCCTTTCATCCTTCCCCCTTTAATATAAAACCATTCATCCTATTTCTCTGGAGAATCAAGACTAATAAATGAGTGAGCTGATCCTTTTACATCATGCAATGTCCTCTTTTATTCCCGCTAGTATTTTTTGTTCCAAAGTGTCCACTGCACAACATTAAAACAGCAACTTCAGCTTTCTTTTGACCTGTGTTTTCATGGTACACTATGTTTCATTCTTTTGTTAACCTACCTATATAAATATACTTGCAGTGGATTTCTTACAGCATATAAGATAGGGTCACATTTTTAAATCAATCCTGAGAATTTACACCTTTAAATGATATTTTTAGACAATTTACATTTAACAATTGATTATGTTTAGGTTTAGGTCTACCCTTCTATTGTTTTATCTATTACATAAAGTAAAATACTCTAAATTGTTTGCTTTTTAATTTTTAAATAAATTCATTTAGTTTAAAAAAACTAAAATATACATTCAACAAAAATTCAATTAAATATGACCTAAAAAAAGAGAGAAATTTTAGAATGTTCATCAAGAAGAAATCTGTACCTGAATCTGCAATTATCACAGCATTTTTCAGTTCCCATAATACCCATGGAGGCCTTTCTTAGTTGTTTGTCCTCAAAATGAGACAAGATCATTCTATCCAAGAGAAAATTTTAAATTAAATAAATAAATACACACACGTTAACTTCATTGCTAAAAATAGATAAAATCACCATTAATTATTTGCTTGGAACCTCATTATTTGAGTTTAGTTTACTCAGGCACAAAGAAAGCTGCCTTTAAAACTGAGCATACCATAACATCAACAAAATATTCTTTCAAAATAATTCTAATTATTTAGCAAATGTTTTTCTTAAAAGAGAAATAGCCTGAGTTTTCATAAACCCAGGCTACTAATTGATATAAAATAAGTAATACAGCTGAGCATGGTGGTACATGCCCATAATCCCAGCTACTCAATAGGCTGAGGCAGGAAGAATACAAGTTCTAAGCCAGACTGGACAAAGCATCAAGATCCTATCTCAAAACAAAAAATAAAAAGGACTGGGGATACAGCTCAGTGGTAGAGTATCCCTGGGTTCAATCAAGAGTACAAAAAAAAATAAAATAAAATAAATAATACATACTGTCGCCTACATCTCCTGGAATGAAGATATTTTTCCATTTTTGCCATCATCTTTAATTTGTATAATCGAAACTTTTCATTACGTATCTCAGTAAGGCAGTTCCTGTCAATTCAAAATTTCACAGGGATACGTGAAACTATTATTTATTACTGCTTATTTTCATAACCTACAAAACTCACACTCATATTAGGATAAAGAATATTTCTAATCATCCTAGAAAGTTCTCTTATATTTCTTCACAATCAATGCCCCCAAAGGAGGGAAGCACTTTTGTAATTTTTATAAAAATTGCTTTCAAAAGAATTCTACCGGTGCCGGGCGTGGTGGCGCATACCTATAATCCCAGAGGCTAGGGAGGCTGAGGCAGGAGGATTCAGAGTTCAAAGCTAGCCTCAGCAAAAGCAAGGCACTAAGCAACTCAGTGAAACCTTTCTCTAAATAAAATTCAAAATAGGGCTGGGGGTGTGGTTTAGTGGCCTGAGTTCAATCCCTGGTATCAAAAAAAGAAAAAGAATTCTACCTATGTCCAAGTAACAATTCTTAAGCTGCCTTTGAAAAATTACTATACATGCTAGTTCTTCATTTTGATTTATATGTCACAAACTTTTTGATTTCCAGCAAATCTTTTATTATACACAAATTTTTACCTTTTCCCAGGTAAGTCTATGCATTATTTTAATTTATTTTCTAAGAAACTGAATGCATTTATATAAAGAATACCAAAAGAGGCTCATTACCAGTAGGAGTCTTTATCCCTATTAAGTCTTCAGAGAATTTCTTGATCCTCCAAAACTAACTTTGTATATTGGGGTATGCAGGAACACCAATAAAGTATAAGAAATAAATTTCTTCCTCAAACAAGTATAATTGATTTTCTTCTATAATACTGAATTTATTAAAAATTGTTAAATCGGGCTGGAGCTGTGGCTCAGTGGTAGAGCGCCCGCCTCGCACTTGGTAACTATAAAATGGGATTTCTGTTCATTCTGTTCGATCCTCAGCACCACATAAAAATAAATGAAGATATTGTGTCCAACTACAACTAAGAATATATTTTTTAAAAATTGTTAAATAGTATTAAAACACATTATCTTCTAAAAAGCCAGTGCAACTAAGCTCACCCTGTTTGTCTAGTCTTCTGTGAATAAATTTTATAAGTATCAATATCAAATGATAAAAATCTCCCGAATAGCTTTGTATACCTTTCCAAGAATAAACAGAAGAAGGCAAATGAAGGGGAGGGAGGAGGGAAAGGAAAAGGAACTACAGAATGAAACTGATTTCTGAATTATGCTCCATACATATATGAAAGAATAAACAAACAGACTCTAAGGTAACTATGGCTGAAGACATATTACAACATGAGAAGACATGAGGAGGAAAAAATACTATTCACTTGATGTACAACAGTAGGAAAGTATTCTGTAAGATCTATGTTATATGCCTAAGTATAAAACTTATTTAGGTAATTCCTCACACTCAGGAATGGCTAAAATTAGGTCATCTCCTCTATGTGGCAACATTTATCATCAATGTTCTTCATAGATGTTGTCTGTTTTGGATTTTTGCTTTCATTTGTTGGTTGATTTGGGTGTTTTATTTTTATTTTTTTTTAATTTGTTTTACTTAGTTACCCATGACAGTACAATGATATTGACATATCATACATTTGAATTAGATGGGATATAATTTCTCATTTTTCTGAGTGTACAGGTTGCAGAATTACATTGGTCATGCAGTCACGTATATACCCACAACAATAATAATGTCTACTTTATGCTACTGTCCTTCCATTCCCCCCTTCTCCTCCCCTCCCCTCACTTCTCTCTACCTAATCTTGTTTTTTTTACTTTAAATATACCTGCAAATTACTTGAAATTTTAGACCCTGCTTCAATATTTTCTTGGAAAGAAAGAAATATGCAAGGTGAAAACAATAGTTTTTACCTATTTAAGTTAAAGTCTGCTGGAGCCCAGAGTATATGACAAGAACTTTGAAGTCCATCACGGCCAGCTCTACCAATTTCCTGATAATATGATTCCATTTCTTTAGGAGCACCATAATGAATGACTCTGCGAATGTCAGCTTTATTAATGCCCATTCCAAAAGCTATAGTAGCGATGACACACTGAGAATAAATAACATAGTTTGACAAACATATTTAACAGAATTAAAACTTTAACAATAATTCAATCATTAAAATATCTGGCATAAAACTAAATTTAATATAATTTCAACAAATCACCTATAGAATAAAAGAGTATCTGCCCAATTTACTTATTAAAGATTGGTAACTATAAAATGGGATTGCTGTTCATTCTCTATAAAAAGCATAAAATAAGTGGGTTCTCTGAACATCTGTGAGTGTGAGACACAAAAGAGGGTCTTAAAAATATTTATTGTATTAAATGAAATGTTTATATTATGAAGTATTCAAGTATCTTACTACATAGCAAAGTATCTTATCCTAACATGATTCTAAGACAGAAAAACGTCTCATTAAAGATGGTGAAGTGAAACATAATTTTCACTTCATCCTTAATTTTCTCTATATCCTTAAGAGGAAATGACAGAATACCTAATATGCATGTATATGCTAAGAAATCTTAACAAGTATTAACAATAAGAATACCAGTAAATGGATGGGGCTGGAGACTATCATGATAAGTGAAATAAGCCAATCCCAAAGAATCAAAGGCCAAATGTTTTCTCTGATATGTGGATGCTAATCCACAATAAGGGGGTGGGGGGCTAGGGAAGAATAGAGGTACTCTGTACTAGACAGAAAGGAGTGAATGAATAGGACATTATGACCCTATATACATATATGATTACCCAACCAGTATAATTCTACATCAGGTACAACTACAAGAATGAGAAGTTATACTTCATTTATGTATGACTTATACATGCATTCTACTGTCATGTAAGAACAACAACAAAAAAGAATACAAAAAGAGCTGGGCATGGTGGCTCACTCCTGTAATCCTATCTGTTCAGGAGTCTGAGGCAAGAGGATCACAAATTCAGCAACTTAGCAAGGCTGTAACCAACTTTACTAATAAATTTAGTAAAATTTAATATAATTCAAAATAAAAAAATACAAAAAGGGCTGGAGATTCAGCTCAGTAGCTAAGCACCTCTGGGGTCAATCCCCACTACAAAAAAAAAAAGAGAGAGAGAGAGAGAGACAAGTAACCGTAATAAACTACATGACTGCATTGCTTAAAGATTTAAAAAAAAAACCTTTACAGAGTAATTGTGTAAATCTTGTACAATGAAATAAAATTATGATACAAATAATGCCTATAATCTCAGCTACTCATGAAGCTGAGGAGGATTACTTGAGCACAGGAGTTCAAGATCAGCCTGAACTCAAGATCAGCAATACAGGGAGACCTCGTCTTTTATTATTATTATTATTTATGTATTTAAATTAGGTATATAAGACAGCAGAATGCACTTTGATTCATTGTACACAATTGCAGCACAATTTTACATGTCTATGGTTGTACACGATGTAGCATCACACCATATGTGCAGTCATACATGTACCTAGTGTAATGATGTCCATCTCATTCCACTGTCTTTCCTGCCCCCATGCACCCTCCCTACCCTCCCTCTCCTTTGCCCAATCAAAGTTCCCTCCATTTTCCCCATGCCTCCCAGCTCCCCATTATGGATCAGCATCCACCTATCAGAGAGAACATTTGGTCTTTGGTTTTTTGGGATTGGCTTACTTCTCTTAGCATAATATTCTTCAACTCCATCCATCTACCTGCATCTATCATCCTCGTCAACACTTACTGTTGTTTGTATTCTTAATAACTGACATTCTGACTGGCATGAGATGAAATCTTAGAGTAGTTTTGATTTGCATTTCTCTAATTACTAGAGATGTTGAACATTTTTTCATATATTTGTTGATCAAATTCATATCTTCTGAGAAGTGATTGTTCAGCTCCTTAGCCCATTTATTGATTGGGTTGTTTGGTATTTTTTGGTGTTAAGTTTTTTGAGTTCTTTATATATCCTGGAGATTAGTGCTCTGACATGAGTGTAACAAAAATTTGCTGCCAAAATGTAGGCTCTCTGTTCACCTTATTGAATGTTTCTTTTGCTAAGAAGGGAGACTTCGTCTTTAAAAAAAAAAATTGTAAGAAAATTGGTGAGGATGTGGGGAAAAAGGTACATTCATACATTATTGGTGGGACTATAAATTGGTGCAGCCAATATGGAAAGCAGTATGGAGATTCCTTGGAAAACTGCAAATAGAACCACCATTTGACCCAGCTATTCCACTCCTCGGTCTATACCCAAAGGATTTAAAAAACAGCATGCTACAGGGACACAGCCACATCAATGTTTATAGCAGCACAATTCACAATAGCTAAACTGTGGAACCAACCTAGATGCTCTTCAGTAGATGAATGGATTAAAAAAATGTGGCATATATACACAATGGAATATTATACTCAGCAATAAAAGAATAAAATCATGGTATTTGCAAATAAATGGATGGAGCTGGAGAAGATAATGCTAAGTGAAGTTAGCCAATCCCAAAAAATCAAATGCTGAATATTTTTTCTATATAAGAAAGGAAGCCCCTACACCATAGGTGGGTAGGGAGGGGGAGCATGGGAGGAACAGATAAACTCTAGATAGGGTAGAGGGATGGGAGGGGAAGGGAGGGGGCATGGGGTTACAAATGATGGTGAAATGTGATGGACATCATTATCCAAAGTACATGTATGAAGACAGGAATTGGTGTGAATATACTTTGTATACAATCAGAGTTATGAGAAATTGTCCCCTATATGTGTAATATGAATTGTAATGCATTCCACTGTCATATATAATTTTTTTAAAAAACTTGAAAAAGAAAGAAATAAGTAAATTGAGAAAATGGGGTTAGAAATGCATAAAATGGAGAGGGAGAGGAAAAGGACACTAAAGGATGTGAAAAAGATCTAAACTTTCATCCTTCACAGTGGGGAGTCAATAGATAATGCCTAAAACATATAAAAAAATTAAGTAGTAGCAATAGAGGCAAATCGTGGCAAAAAAAAATAGTTTTAAACACCTAAAGGCTCAGCTAAAAGAGTTGAGAGTAGGAAAAAGAAGTGAAAAGGCATGAGGGGCTACTTGCGGAGTTGTACGTATAACTGATAAAAATTAAAGTCCATTTTAAAGAAAATAGGTAAGCTAAGATAGGACAGGAGAATAAAAAGGATAAAAGGAAAGAAGAAAACTACTGAACTAGTCAAAGGATGATGAGAAGGGTGAGAGAAAAATAAATACACCAATAATAATAATAATCAATAATAAGTTAAAGCTTTGGACAAAGACTAGGCAATTTTTCTATATTTAAGGGTTAATAAGCAACACAATAATGATTCTACTTTTAATCATATTATTTTTAGAAGAGATCAACCAATTCCATAGGCTTTATTTTTAAAATATCCCTATAAACTTTCAAGTATAAATAAATATATTTTATCAAATAAGTGATTTGCAGCCTCATTCCAGAAAGAAAGAGAATTTAAGGTATCATTAAAGGACAAGTGAAAATACAAATGGATATACAACAAAAAGTCAGGATTAAATATAAGAATGAATGGCTAGATTAAAAGGCAAATCTACATGCAAATATAATTAGATATGATTATAAAAATCACAAATAAAAGTCTATTTTTCTAAAATTATAAAAATATAGTTAGATATGGCTATAATAATCACAAATAAAAGTCTATTTTTCTAAAAATATTAAGATTCTAAGCATCAATCCATCTAAGCTATTAAGAGTTGAAGATATCAGCTAGACTTTAGCCCTGCACTAAGGTATAAGTCAATTGTAAAAAGAATTACAGGAAAAGTGAATATTTAGAATTCAGGATATTCATTCATTCGTTAAGCACTAAATAAATATCAATGACAAGTAATCAACTGCAAAAGCACTAGCCTCTTCCATATAGAAGATAAAATATATTTTCATCACTTGAAAAAGTGATTTGAGAACTTTCAATACAAATGTGGAACTTCTAAACAATTAATGACAAAGGACTATCTGGACCAGCTGTTAGATAAAACAAAACTTGATGTTAGGCTAGAGTAAAATAATCAATACTAACTTATTAATCTTCATAATATGTATAAATATTTGTGACATCCCACCATAGAAAGGGAAAATATAGTATCACATATATACATACACCCTTCTAGAGATCAGGTGTAAGCTAAAAGATTACTATAAGGATTTTTAAGCCATATTTCAAAATATTAATATTTAAAGGAGCTGTGTATTGGTAGGAAAATCAGATGCATCCAATGAAATTAACCATCACAAAATAACATGGATAAAGTTTGTACTCTCTCATATTTTTGGGAGATATTTTAGTCTAAATGAATAATTATTAAATTAAATGAACACCTGAACAAAGAATAAACCATTGGTCAGTTAAAGGCTTGAAGACTGATTGCTAAGATTTAGTAGGCAGCTAATAAATTTTATCAGACAATTTTCAAGCCACTGAGATAATAAAAAACACAAATTTGCATAAAATCTCTGTCCAGTTATGACAGCTGTTTCCATCTGTGCAAAGAAGGGGAAAGAAGAGAATAGATACTTTGGGGCAGATATGCATTACAGCAAACCTACACACAGTGAACTTTATAGACAGTACATATGAACTATACTTAAGTGTTAAGATGTTTGAACAATTCTAGTTTGAGGTGGATAACAACTACCTCTCATAGGGAGGGCTTGATAGAAAACTCCAGGGCTGATGCAAGTTCATTTCTTGAGAGGAAGAACTATTATATTGGCTTACAGTAATCAGGTGGATATGATGCTGACATCATTAAGTTGTTGAACGAAACCAACTCATGTGACTTGAATTTAAATTCTCCCAGATATTCTCTAGGTTGCCTACTGAACCAAGCCAATCATGACAGGAGTCTCAGTGGCACCATCTCATAATAACTTCATCATTACCCTTCCCTTCTTCAGTTCTGCCCTTAAAATTAATCCTATTAAATGCTACCAGTCTATTTTTATGATAATATCATTCTGCTCAAAAACACAGAAGAGTTCATCATGTTAATATTCAAACTCTTTTCTGTGGCATGCTAAGGATTACAAAACACATACAGAGGCTGTCTTACAGCCTGGGAGGTTCAGGTCTCCCTTCTCCCTCATGCCAACTCCAACTAGAATTATTATTTAATCTATCTTACCTATTAGATAAAAGCTCATTTAAATGAAAAATTCTAAGGTTAAAGTAATCAGGAAAAATTACAGGAATCTAGCACCAAGCCCAGTATATCTCTTTCCTACAAGTTTTAAAGCCATCCATAAACCTGGCCAACAAATCCATTTAATCTTTTTCTTAGGAGTCTTTTAACAGTTCCTCACTGCCTCTTTATCCATAGTTTTTGCCATTCCTATCCCTTGCTCTTTCCCTCCAGTCATTCCAAACCACTCATAATTTGCTGAGCCCTGCAAACACTCTCACATCACACGTTAGTCCTTGTTCCTGGAATTCTATAACCAATTCTTCTGCTCTCATCACCTACCAGCCTACAAACTTCTATTCACATTTTCAAACTCTATTCAAATTGCACCTTCCTGGATAGTCAACTCACATAACAAAACCTATCTCAGACGGCTTTTTATACTTAATAATCTGCAACAGTTTTTTCATACACTTACCTTTCACATTACATATAGACTGATTTCCTTAACCAGAGGAGCTATATTATATTTAATACCAAAAAGTATTTAATAAAGATATGATATAATTTGAGAAATATCTATTTTCTCTAAGGAGCACAGAGAGTAATGACAATTGATTCTCACACCTGAATTTCATCTCTCATGAACCTATGATGAACATCTTTCCTTATGTTAAAACTCATGCCTGCATGGTATGTTCCACAGGCTAACTTCAGTTTCTTAAGTTCAGCAGTAACTTGTTCTGTCATTTTTCTAGAAGGACAATAGATGATAGTTGGACCTTCAAATTCCCAATCAGAACTAGAAGGAAAAAAGGGAAAAAAAAGAACAAACATAGTGAGAGAAAGAAGGGGGCGGGGGAAGAATATTTCAGACCAGTTTGGGTTTTATCTCATTTAACATTTCCTTTCTATTAAACAAAAGACTAAAAGCATATTAAAAAACAATGACATATTTAACTGCATGAAAATCTAAAACATTATGGAGAATCACGTGTGAAATAAGTTGTAGTGAGCTCCAAAAACTTTTGACTTAGTTTTGGTTCAAATCAAAGTTAAAATATGAAACAAGTAAGTTTGTCCTAGCAGAAGTCATGATACAAATGCATCAACTATTGATGCAAATATTCTAGGAATGTAACACAACAGAGAAACAATTAGTCTTAATTTTTGTAGAAGTGAATATTTATATAGAAATATGTATAAAAATTCTTATTCTTTTATGTTCATAGAGTTGAGCTTATTTACTAAAAAAAAAAAAAAAAAAAAGACCTTTTTGGAATATTGCAAGATTGCTTTTATGGTTCAAAGAAGTAATTACTAACAATCTTGAGACCATCAAAGTTTAAGAAAAAACTGTTTCAATGTCTATTGTAGAAATTTGTGCTTACTTATTAAGAGTGTAAACAATGATTTCCATAAAACATTTAATACCTCAATGTATTCATTTACTTAAAGGTATTCATTTATGCTGACTTAATTATTATAGACAGACAACTATTTTAGATTCATGAAAAGTTATTTTAGGGCTGAGACTGTACCTCAGTGGCAGAGTGCTTGCCTAGCATGTATGAGGCACTGAGTTCAATCCTTAGCATTGCATAAAATAAACAAACAAACAAAAGGCATCTGTCCATCTATAATTACAAAAATAGTAATTTGATTTAATTTTAAATTCATATACCCTTTGATGTAATTTCAATTTAAAGTTTGTTTGTTTTCTGGGTACTAAGGATAGAACCCAGGGGTACTTTACCATTGTACTACATCTCCTTCCCTTTTTTTTTTTTTTTAAGAGAGAGAGAGAGAGAGAATTTTTTAACAATTATTTTTTAGTTTTTTGGCGGGCACAACATCTTTGTTTGTATGTGGTGCTGAGGATCGAACCCGGGTCGCACGCATGCCAGGCGAGCGCGCTACCGCTTGAGCCACATCCCCAGCCCTCCTTTCCTTTTTTAAATTTTCATTTTGAGGAAAGGTCTTATTAAGTTGCCAAGTCTGGCCTCAAACTTGCTTATCTTCCTGCCTCAGCCTCCCATGTGGTTGGGGTTACAGAAATGTGCCACCTTGTCTGGCTCCAATTTGAATTTTGGGAATTTATTTTATAAAAATACTTATCTGCCAAAAGACTATACAAATATTCAGAGTAAACCTATGATAGTGAAAAATAATCTAAATGTTCATCATTATGTATATTCGTATAATGGAATACTAAAAAAACTTTTTAATATGTCAAACTGCACTCTACTGTCATGTATATCTTTTATTTTTTTAGATGTACAGGGACACAATACCTTTATTTTATTTGATGTGGTGCCGGGATTGAACCCAGAGTCTCACACATGCTAGGCAAGTGGTTTACCACTGAGCCACAACCCCAGTCCTCCTAAACAAACATTTTTAAAAATTAAATGTTTGGGGCTGGGGTTGTGGCTCAGAGGTAGACCACTTGCCTACAATACATGATGCACTGGGTTCAATCCTCAGTACCACATAAAAATAAAAATGAAGATATTGTGTCCACCTATAACTATAAAAAATAAATGTTTTTTAAAAATTAAATGCTTATAAAATCATTAAGAAGGACTATGGCAGAGGCTACTGAAAATTAAACAGAAAAATCAGGTAATATTAATAATATTAATAACCTACACTACACAAGTTTTGATAGTAAACATCTTAAAGGAGTGAGAAAGGCTAAACTTTTTTTTTTTTTAAGTTCACAAAAATCTTATTATAAAAAACACATTTTCAAAGAAGAAAAAACTGCTCACCAAAATCTGGATAGTATATTCTACACATTAAGGCCCTAATTTAATAAAATAAAATATATGGAAAGATACTTTAAATGAAAGGAGAAATGGATATGGTATGAAATTATTTCTTTATAAACTTAACAACAAAAAAATAGGGGTGCACGTCTGCATAGTAATAGAGTAAAAGAAGTCTATGTAGCTAAACATCAAAATATCAATAGTAAATATACATAGAGAATGGGACTGAAAAATGAGCCATTTTCAACTTACAAATGCATCTGTATTATTCAAAATGATATTAAGTATTAAAATTTAAAAAGATACAGACAATATGTAAAAATTTGAACTTAACAAATCAAGCCTAAAAATTCCTTTTACAAAAGGAATTTACTGCCAAGTAACTTACTAAAAACTGTTATGTCTTCATAACAATTTCCTGAGAGTAAAAACAAAAAGCAGCCCTTATTTGCCTAACCATTAAATGAAATAGGCAAAAGAGGTTCATCTAATTATCTAAATAAATATAATGTGAGAGCTGGGACTGCAGTTCAGTGATAGGATGCCGTTGTGTGCGTGTGAGGCCCTGGGTTCGATCCTCAGCACCACATAAAAATAAATAAATAAAGATATTATCTCCATCTACAACTTAAAAAAATGTTTAAAAAATATATAATGTGAATATAAAAACAAAATAAGGCTATTTTAAGAAACATTTTCAATCAATAAATAGAAAAAATGTAAATACTGACAAATGGCAGAATCAAAGTAAGAGAAGAAAATGGAAATAAAAAACCATTGATCTGAAGCCTTAATTACCCTCTACTTCATGTCTCAGATCTGTAGAAAGCATTCTGACTCTCAATGTTTTACTACTACTATACTCTGTTTGAAGAGGACTGAAAATGGGTATAGAATATTTCTTGATCTGTTTTTAGAAAAAAATTCCATATTAAATATTGACATATTGCTTCCAATATTAAGCAAAGGAGTCTGATCTTCATTCCCTAGAATAGAATTCCAGAAAGGTGCTCCAAGATTTAAGAGGTGTGCTTTCAGAAGATGAATATGAAAGTTATGTGCAGAGTGCAACAATGAGCAAGAGGAGGAGAGAGATCTGTTAGGAGATATTCAGTCTGGGATATAAAGTAACAAAGACATCAATTAGAAGAATTAACATAAAAAAAAACAGAAAGAAACATTTGCATAAGACATGGAGACCAACAGTGTCAAAACACAGAGAAGCCCACATGGTGGTGTTTGCCTATAATTTCAGGAGCTCTAGAGACTGAGAGAGGAGAATCCTGAGTGCAAAGCCAAGCCTCAGCAATTTAGAGAGGCCCTATGCAACTCAGTGAGACCCTGTCTTTAAATAAAACACAAAACAGGGCTGGGGATGTGGCTCAGTGGTCAAGTGCCCCTAAGTTCAATCCCTGGCGCCCCACCAACAAAAAAAAAAAAACCAAATACTAACAAAAGAGGTGAAGGACCTATACAACGAAAACTACAGAACCCTAAAGAGAGAAATAGAAGAAGACCTTAGAAGGTGGAAAGATATACCTTGTTCATGGATAGGCAGAACCAATATCATTGAAATGGCCATATTACCAAAAGTACTCTATAGGTTTAATGCAATGCCAATCAAAATCCCAACGGCATTCCTCGCAGAAATACAAAAAGCAATCATGAAATTCATCTGGAAAAATAAAAGACCCAGAATAGCAAAAGCAATTCTAAACAGGAAGAGTGAAACGGGCGGTATAGCGATACCAGATTTTAAACTATACTACAGAGCAATAGTAAGAAAAACAGCATGGTGCTGGTACCAAAACAGGCAGGTAGACCAATGGTACAGAATAGAGGACACAGAGACCAACCCACAAAATTACAACTACCGCATATTAGACAAAGGTGCCAAAAGCATGCAATGGAGAAAGGATAGCATCTTCAACAAATGGTGCTGGGAGAACTGGAAATCCACATGCAACAAAATGAAATTGAATTCCTTTCTCTCACCCTGCACAAAAGTTAACTCAAAATGGATCAAGGAGCTACGAATCAAACCAGAAACTTTGCATCTAATAGAAGAAAAAGTTGGCCCTAATCTCCATCTCGTGGGGTCGGGCTACAAATTCCTTAATAGGACACCCATAGCACAAAAGTTAAAAACAAGAATCAACAAATGGGACTCACTCAAACTAAAAAGTTTTTTCTCAGCAAGAGAAACAATAAGAGAGGTAAATAGGGAGCCTACATCCTGGGAACAAATCTTTACCCCTCACACTTCAGATAGAGCTCTAATATCCAGAGTATACAAAGAACTCAAAAAATTAAACAACAAGAAAACAAATAACCCAATCAACAAATGGGCCAAGGATCTGAACAGACACTTCTCAGAGGAGGATATACAATCAATCAACAAATACACGAAAAAATGCTCACCATCTCTAGCAATCAGAAATCTCACTCCATTAAGAATGGCAGCCATTATGAAGTCAAACAATAACAAGTGCTGGCAAGGATGTGGGGAAAAGGGTACACTTGTACATTGCTGGTGGGACTGCAAATTGGTTCAGCCAATTTGGAAAACAATATGGAGATTCCTTGGAAAGTTGGGAATGGAACCACCATTTGACCCAGGTATTCCTCTTCTCGGACTATACCAAAAAGACCTAACTAAAAAGAGCATACAACAGGGACACAGATACATCAATGTTCATAGCAGCACAATTCACAATAGCTAGACTGTGGAACCAACCCATATGCGCTTCAATAGATGAATAGATAAAAAAAAAATGTGGCATTTATACACAATGGAATCTTACTCAGCACTAAAAAACAAAATCATGGCATTTGCAGGGAAATGGATGGCATTAGAGCAGATTTTGCTAAGTGAAGCTAGCCAATCCCTAAAAAACAAATGCAGAATGTCTTCTTTGATATAAGGGGGGCCACTCAAAACAGAGCAGGGAGGAAGAGCATGAGAAGAAGATTACCATTAAATAGGGACAAGAGGTGCGTGGGAATGGGAGAGAGAAGGGGAATTGCATGGAAGATGATAGGAGACCCTCATTGTTATGCAAAATTACATATAAGATGGTGTGAGGGGGAAGAAAAAAGAGAAAAAAACGTCACAGTAGACTGGGTAGAAAGAGAAGAGGGGAGGGGTGGGGAGGGGGGCATAGGAAGGGCAGCACAATACAATAGACACTAGTATGGCCCTATGTATAAATGTGGCTGTATAACCAATGTGATCCTGCAATCTATACACGTGGAAAAATAAGATTAAGATTACATACCCCATTTGAATCAAATGTATGATATGTCAAGATCATTGTAATGTTTTGAGCAACTAATAAAAAAATTTTTAAAAAATGTTACCCCCGCCCAAAAAGGCAAAGAGAATGATAAAGATTACAAATATTCCTATTCAAGCATCAACAGGGAATAAAAATAACAGAAGAATTGGTCCCTAACTTCAAAAATATACTTTTTCTCAAGTTACTGAACTGATTATGTAATACCACACTTAACTTGAACCACAGCTAGGTAAAAGCTGAAATAAGTCAAACATGTATTAGAAAGAAATAGTAAAAAAATAAATAAATTATTCTATAAAAAAAGAAATAGCTACAAAAATCCATCAACCATTAAATCCTTACCTTGTCTTTTTAACAAGAAATGGCTTTAGATCTTGAAGAATGTTCCCTGTTTTCCGTCCAACTTCTAAATATAGATTTGGTCGATCAAAACTAGTACAGGTAATCTGAGGATTGTTCAGTTTTAAGCAACGTACAATGTCTTCCCGGATTGAAGAACTTGCAGTTGCAGTGAGGGCAATGATTGGAACCTGAGTGAAAAAACATGATTTTTTAAAAATGTTCACTAATTCTAAATATTTCTACTGCCTTCTTACAAAAAGAGTGTTACAGGAGGTACACTGTCAAAAATACCTTAAAATTATACTTTTTAATAAAAGAAAAAGAAGCTACTTAACTGTTTTCAGTCTTCTAAACATAACATTACTTCTTAAAAAAAAGCAGAAATCATTTATAAGCACTAAATACAATTTACTTTGTCTTATTAAATTAAATGTATTTATTAGCTCGCTATCTTTCCAGTTATTATTTTGAACTATTACATCTATAATAGTACCCATATAAGTAAGGGTGCATTACTTACTTTTTTTTTTTTAAAATCTAACTGTATAAAGCAAGGAGGTGTTTTCTGTGGTTTTTCTTTGGCAGATTGGTGTTTTAGTGTTTTGTTTTTTTGTCTCTCGTGAAATATGTCAGTTAACAGCTTTTCATATCTAAAAGCAAAGCTTCCCATGACCTGGATAACCTCTTCCCAGTCTTACTAAAGTGAATCAATGGCATGGTATATATAATATTAAATGTGTATTATTAATTGCTTCCTAAAGCAATGAAACCATACTCTATTTTCAGTCTAGCAAAGACTCTGAATTATATAATCAACCAAAAAGGAACATAGTAGGCATGAGGAAAAACATACAATCTTTCAGAAATTCAAAGGCACGATAACAAAATACCTCCCATAAAACTACACTTCATATTTTTGTTCCTATTATAAAAGGGAATCATACTCAATTATGCTATATTTCATAATCAGGAAAAAAATGGGTTACATCTTAAGGTTGTTCCTAAATAATTAGCTGTTCCATTACCAGAATACAATTTTCCTAAAAATACGTTTTGGCTTATTACAGACAGAGGAAACAATGTCGCAATAAAATGCTTTTTTTTGTTGGATATGCTGTAGCTATCTCACAAACCAGCTTAAATAATTATCTTTTGTATGTAAAAATTTACATACAATTTATCAATTCAAAAAAAAGTGTATGTAGAGTCTGACTCAAAATTAAAACAAGATACAAATTACAAACTTTTTTGTTACATTTGCAATTAATATAGATTTACTGAATTAAAAACTATCTCATCTTGGGAGGTTTTATGAATGAAAAAAAAAACCCAACATGACCAATTAATTGTATCATTTTTATATTCTCTATCCTTAAATTCTGTAAAACTGAGGAGATCCAACATGGCAGCGGGCACGGAGAGATCAAGTCTCTGACATCTTCAGCTGCGCAGGCATAGGGAGTCGTAAACCATCTAAATGATATTTGCTCAGGATCACTAGGCAATGCTGAGCTGACGTGGATCTGGGGCGAACAGTCTGGACCTCTCAGAACACACACTGAGCCCGGATCGCCTGAATTCAAGCTGCCATTCGCCTGCGCCTCGCAGACAAACCGCTGTGACTCAGCACTAAACGATCCCGCTGAAACAACTGATGGGCCCTTCTGAACCTGCGGAGGTTAATACCAACCGAGCCTTCATAGGCAGTGGCCACAGGATTGAGACGGGGCTTGGGAGAGCCAGTCAGGACCCACCCGTTGCATTGGTCACCCAGCAAAGGGAACAATCTGTCGCCATTTGCATGGAATACCACAATGGCAGAGAACTGACATCATCAGAATGCGGCAGAGGAGATAACTTCATTGAAACCGGCGGTGACAGGTGTGTAATCCCTTAGCCCTTCCTCTCCACACAGCGGGGAAACCTTAAGGGCTCCTCCCAGCTCTCCCGTGAGCGCGATAGTCAGACCGAGGGAATCAGGAGTGGCGCGGGACCCGCGGCTACCGCTCCCACCAGTGCTGACAACTGAGGTCTCTTGCACCAGCTACCAGGGGCGTGGCTACCGGAGGACAAGCAAAATTTCGCTGAGGGTTCTCAGCCCCAAGCTCCACAAACTTAGGGTCTGAGGGAATGGCAAACGGGGAGAGTGTACCCAGTCGTTTAAGAAAATAGGACTCCTGGGAGCAGCAGAACTAGTGTGTAGCCAGTATTGTGGTGAGCGTCACCGGTGAGCAGGGCCTGGCTTGAGGAAAAGTAGAGAAGTGACTAGACACAAGAGAAGGTCCTAGGCACTCAGGACTGGAGACCCGCCCAGTCTGGGAGGAGGAGCTGCTGCACAGTGATTGGTTCCCGCGTATTGAGAGGAGAAGCCTGGCCCAGTGGGCACAGCTCCACCTACTGGAAGACAAGTTAATCAAACTCTAAGACTGCATTTATTAAATTTTTTGGGTTTTTTTTTTTCATTTTCATTTTTTAAATTTTTTTATTATTTTTTTAATTTTAATTTTTTTTATTATTTTTTTTCTTTTTTTATTTCCTATTTTTTTCTTTTGTCTTTTCATTTCTTTTCAATTTCCTTATTCCCCCTTCCTTGAATTCTACCTGCTTACTCTCATTCTCTTTAGTGACTTCTTCCCTTCCCGTCTAATACCTTTCCTCCCAAGCATCAAATAAATTTATAGGAGTAAACAGTAACTCAACAGTCAAACAGAACAAGAAGTAACATGAGCAGCATGAAAAAGCAAGGAAGAAAAGGAGTACAAACAATGCAGGACAGCCTAAATATTCAGGAGGACCTAGAGGCATCAGAAAAATGGCCAAATAAAGAACTCAAGGAATACCTTACACAGATGGAATGGAATCTTAAAGAGGATATGAGACAGCAAATCCAAACAGTGAAAGAACACATTGAAAATGAATTACATAAACAGATAAAAGAAGCAAATAAGCATCTTTATCAGGAGATAGAGATTATTAAAAAAATCAAACAATAATTCTAGAAATGCAGGAAGCTATAAACCAAATTAAAAACTCAAATGAGAGTATCACTAACAGAGTGGAGCAAGTAGAAGCCAGAACGACAGATAATGAAGACAAAAATATATCATCTTGAAAAGAGTCTAGCCAACTCAGAAAGGCTGGTAAAAAATCACGAGAAAAACATCCAAGAGATATGGGATAACATAAAAAAACCAAACTTAAGAGTCATCGGGATAGAGGAAGGTATAGAGGTTCAAACCAAGGGAATGAGTAATCTGCTGAATGAAATAATGACAGAAAACTTTCCAGAAATAAAAAAAGAAACGGATATACAAATTGTCGATGCATACAGGACACAGAGCATACAAAATCACAGTAGACCAATGCCAAGACACATTGTTATGAAGATATCCAATATACAGAACAAAGAGAAAATATTAAAAGCTACAAGAGAAAGGAGGCAGATTACATTCAGGGGTAAACCAACAAGGTTAACAATGGATTTTTCATCACAGACGCTGAAAGCGAGAAGATCCTGGAACAACGTATTTCAAACACTGAAAGACAAAGGATGCCAAACAAGAATTTTGGGTCCAGCAAAATTAAGCTTCAGGTACAACAACGAAATAAAAATCTTTCACGATAAACAAAAGTTAAAATAATTTACAGCCAGAAAACCAGCACTGCAAAGCATCTTGAGCAAAACACTACACGAGGAAAAAATGAAAAACAATAACCAAAACCAACAGTGGGAAGTGCCTCAGTAAAGACAGAAGGAGGGGGGAAAGCTAATCATGGAGAAACAAACTAAATTAAAAAATAAATAAATAACTAATCAACTAAATTAAAAAATAAATAAATAAATAATCAAACATGGCTGGAAGTACAAACCATATACCAATAGTAACTCTAAACGTTAATGGCTTAAACTCTCCAATAAAGCGACATAGGCTGGTAACATGGATTAAAAAAAAAAAATCCAACAATATGCTGCCTCCAGGAGACTCATCTGATTGGAAAAGACATACACAGGCTGAAGGTGAAAGGTTGGGAAAAAATACACCAGGCACACGGTCCTCGTAAGCAAGCAGGAATAGCCATCCTCATATCGAATAAAATCGACTTCAAGACTAAGTTAATCAAAAGGGATAAGGAAGGACATTATATACTATTGAAAGGAACCATTCACCAACAAGACATAACAATTATCAATATATATGCCCCAAATAAGGGTGCTGCAACGTTCATAAAACAAACTCTCCTCAAGTTCAAGAATCAAATAAACCACAACAAAATAATTATGTGTGACTTCAACACACCTCTCTCACCATTGGACAGATCCTCCAAACAAAAGTTGAATAAAGAAACTATAGAACTCATATCACAATCAATAACCTAGACTTAAGTGGCATATATAGACTATATCAACCATCATCAAGTGGATATACTTTTTTCTCAGTAGCACATGGATCCTTCTCATAAATAGACCATATATTATGCCATAGGGCAACCCTCAGTAAATATAAAGGGGTGGAGATAATACCATGCATTTTATCTGATCATAATGGAATGAAACTGGAAATCAATGATAAAAGAAGGAAGGAAAAACCCTACATCACATGGAAAATGAACAATATGTTACTGAATGATCAATGGGTTACAGAAGACATAAAGGAGGAAATCAAAAAATTCTTAGAGATAAATGAAAATACAGACACACTATATCAGAATCTATGGGACACAATGAAAGCAGTTTTAAGAGGGAAATTCATCAGCTGGAGGTCATTCCTCAAAAAAAGAAAAAACCAACAAATAAATGAGCTCACACTTCATCTCAAAGCCCTAGAAAAGGAAGAGCAAAATAACAGCAAATGTAGCAGAAGGCAAGAAATAATTAAAATCAGAGCGGAAATCAAAGAAATTGAAACAAAAGAAACTATTGAAAAAATTGACAAAACTAAAAGTTGGTTCTTCGAAACAATAAATAAGATCGACAGACCCTTAGCCATGCTAACGAAGAGAAGAAGAGAGAGAACTCAAATTACTAACATACGGGATGAAAAAGGCAATATCACAACAGATGCTACAGAAATACAGAAGACAATTAGAAATTATTTTGAAAACCTATATTCCAATAAAATAGAAGATAGTGAAGACATCAATAAATTTCTTAAGTCATATGATTTGCCCAGACTGAGTCAGGAGGATA